GCTGCCGAAGGCGCCCTCCAGAAGCATTGAGTCCACCGCAGCGCACGCCTCCTCTACGTCAGCGGCCACGATCACCCCCTTGCCGGCCGCCAGGCCGCTGGCCTTGACCACGATGGGGGCCCCCTGCTGCCGGATGTACCGCTTGGCGGCATCTAGCGGGCATGGGTGTGGGGTTGTGCGGATGTGGGTGCGACGTTGTTTGTGGGTGCATGTGTGTGTGTGTGTGTGTGTGAGTGTTCCTGTGTGTGTGTGGGATTGTGCGGGTGTGTAAGTGTGTGTATGTATGTGTGCGCGCGCACGAGCGTGCCTGCGGCGTTTCATCCCCCCCCCCTGCGCTCCCGCTCACCTGCGTCTTTGAAGACATCATAGGCTGCTGTGGGGATGTCATACTTCTTGCACAAGTCCTGGGATGGGAGGCGAGGGGCGGCGGCGGCGCGTCGCGTGATATCACACGTAATCCGCCGCCCCGCCGCCCTGCGCGCCCGCTGCAAACGGGCCGCCGCGCGGGCGGGCGGGCGGCCAAACAGCGGGTCTGGTGGGACGCTGCACACAAGCCCTCTCCTGCTCTGACGCAGGCGCGCGCCTGTGCGCCCACACACGCACTCGCACAGACGGCACCAACCCCCTCCAGCACCCACACGCACACCGAACAAGCACACACGCCACGCCCACGCCCACACACCCACAACCCTCCGCCCGCCCCCCCACCTTCATGAACTTTTTCGACCCCTCAAGCTGCGCCGCCGCCGCCGACGGCCCGAACGCGCGCACGCCCGCCGCCCCTAATGCGTCGGCCAGGCCGGCCACGAGCGGGGCCTCGGGGCCGACCACCACCAAATCAATGCCACGCTCCTTACAGAAGTCAACCACCTGGCCGGGGATGGAGGGTCGTGGAAGTTGTAGGGGCAGCGCCCGCATTTTGAACTTTTCAAAGGGGGGAAGCGGATGAAGGAGCGGATGAGGGGCTTTACCCCAAATGGGGGTTTAACCTTTCTCGGGGGTTTCCGCATCGCTGCTGGCAAAGCTCGATGTGATAAGTAGTGCTATGTCGTGTGGCATGATGTGATGCAATGCAACGTGTTGGGAGCGGGTGGGGTCTCGGCGGGTCGGCGCTGTTTGGCTGTCGACCGGTTGAAGCGGCGCCGGCGGTGTCGCCCTTCCGGCGAGAGCTTATGCGACAACAGCTGCGAGTCAACTCTGGACGGTGCTGCCATTCAGAATGAGCGCTCTGCGCACGTGGCAGGCGGCGAGGCGGGGCCCGAATCCGAAACTGACGGGCGTCTCACCGCTTGGTTGTCCGAAACATCAACAGCTACGTTCTCAACACCAGGCTCCGCCGCCGTCCCGGGGCTGCCCGGCGCGCAGTACAGCGCTCCGCAGAGGTCAGACTGCGCCAGCTTCCAAGCCAGCGCGTGCTCGCGGCCGCCGCCGCCGACAACAAGCACTTTGTGGGCCTGCGGTGCCGCGTCAGCGGGTGTGCGGGTGCGCAGCATGCGCGGTGTCAGCTGAAATACACATGAATATGCTGCAAACTTTGTGACGATAATAGGCATATAGTCACCCGCCCGGCCAGGCGGCTGCCTCGATCACTTCGCCGCGATCTGGGCCGCACCTCGCCCGCAGCAGCCAGCACTACGCAGCGTCTCTTTATGAGGCGAGGTTGTGCCACGCATGGTCGTTCCTGCACACGTGCATGCCGCTGCAAAGCGTGGCTGGATCGGTGCAGCATGATGTGCGACTATTCGGGAAAATAGGTTAAATGTTCGGCGCATCGACCCCAGTCATATGGTCAATGCAAGGGCAGGAAGGAGGGGCATGGGAACAGTTGACTGCGATCGAGCCGCCGCCCCTCAGTCCCCATCCTGTTTGCAGAACAAAGGGTAACGGGCTTCGCGACCCGCCATGCCATATCGGAACGGCGGCGTCCGCAGGCTTCAGGCATGAAACATATCAGCTGGTGGCTCCAGCGTTCAAACGCACGGTCAGCACACATTGGTCAACCCTGAAAGTTGACCGACCTTCGCAGCCGGTGTGCCCCTTCATCAAGCCGCTGCCCATGGCTTACTGCGAGCTGACATGGCGCGCACGCGCACAGGTCAAGTGGGATGCAGCGTTACACTGCAAAAGTGGCACAAGCGCAACATGTACCCCTGCGGCTGAGCCGCACGCTCACCAGCAGAGTTGCAGCGAAAGGCTCTCGGAGACCCCCCGTGCCCGCACCGCGAGCTGTGTATGATGGCAATAAACACACGGGGACTAAAGCATAATGGACGCCGATCAACAACGTGTGTGCTGCACGCGGCAATGCGCCACGCGCCCGGGCGGCAGCGCGTTGCGCGGCCCACCCGTGATGACTTGTGCGTGTGAAGAGTGTGTATCTGTGTGTGTGTGTGTGCGCTCCGTGCGCTGGGGCAGTGGCCTCTCGCTCTTTGTGCGCGTCTGGCATGCGCCCACACGCATCCCATCCTAGTCAGCGCGCTGTATGGCGCTCCGTCATGCTGGTCCCGCGCCTCACATGCACTGGTGCACGCGACCACTTGCCATCGGCAGAGGCGTGCACATGGCAGGGTTTGCAGGCCCATGAGGCGCGCTAGCAAGCACAGACGCTTGTCAAACACCAACTCTGTTGTATCGCAACACCAGCTGTCCATTGATTGGGCAGCCCAGCGGCACAGGGCGCCAGGGGGCGAGGCGGCAGGGTAGGGCAATAATCTCGACACTCTCAAAGCCCAGAAGCACTCAGAAGCGTGAGATGTCCCGGCCGAACACCTGCGCCATGGGCGTGAGAGATTTGAGGAGGGGTTGGGTGACGGAGGGTGAACGCCGGTGAGCCTATTTGCATGCAACAGCTCTGAGATTTGGGTGAGTAGTAGTGAGTGTGTTGTGTATCTGCGCGCGCATAAGTGTGTGTGTGTGTGTGTGTGTGTGTGTGAGAGAGAGAGAGAGAGAGAGAGAGCGAGAGAGAGAGAGAGAGAGAGAGAGAGAGAGGGAGAGA